TACTTTTCAATCTGGCCAATTGAATTGTTAAAATGTGTTGTGAAACATATGATCTGGGAAATGGAGTATGAGTTCTACAACAGAGTGAGGATCACATTTGACTCCATGGAGGAGAACATCGTTCATGGAATTAAGTGTAAATAAATAGGGAAATATTCTTTGTTGGGTGTAGAATTGGAGAACCTTTAGGTTGACAGACTAAAATCTTCAATTTGATCTTATTTTTTAAAAACTGAAGCGAGAGCTAGCCTTCAGGTGAAGGGAAGTGGGAGCTCTGAAGTGGGAGCCGTAATCCTCCTAGCTTAGCCACAAATTTAGGGACTAAACACTGAGAATAGCCAATGATTTTCTATGCACTTTATCATGGTAGAGAATTAAAATTTTTCTTATTTGGCACAATACATATTATGAATATTTATGTCAACTCATTTTACCATAGCTTCATTGTAGTGAGAAGGATGCTTTTTCACATAAAAATCTTTGTTACATAAACATAGTTATAGTTAATATATTAATATTTACTATTTTAAACTTTACATTTTTGAATTGATAATAGTTTAGAAATTTAATTTTGATTACCTCTCAACAATTGAAATTAGTGACAGTGATTCAGTGATGTGATTTTAATTGACTTTCTATGAATTTCCTTGTAAATTTATCATTTCCAATTTAAACCTTCCCTGTGGGATCGATATTTTGGGCTTAAATAAAAAGTCCATTATTACTTGATATTGATACGTATACTTGCATAGAATATAAATATTAATTGATTATACTTATTAAAATTTTACAAAATCTATTGCAAAAAAAAATTGGATCATATGTCGAGGAAAAGTATGCTCCCCATGTTGCAGACGAGATACAGTACTGAGCAATCTCTTCATCTTTTCCTTTGGAACTTTAGGAACATCCTTATAGTGGGTGATCGATAGAGTTCTTCAACCCAAACATGACTTGACTGGTCGACAACCAGCGAGTCTAGTAGCGGTGGAATTGGTGGTGACAATAGCGGTATCAACTCTGTTTCCTAAGCGAAACCAGACATGAATGTGAGCACGCAAATTTTCACTTGAATTTTGGGAGTGTCTAGCAGATCTGACGTCCTTTATAATTTCTTTCTTCATGTGAGGGGATTCTGCATGTCTTACCCATTTAATAAGTTTACTAACTGAACAACCTTATTTGGCAGCTAGTATCTGAAAAACTGAACTAACTCGTGTGATATGAGTAGACTTCTTTCTCTCCACACTATGTCCATGAAGTGACGTTAACGTAGTGATGATTTTCTGGATACTCTCGTACTCATTGGTATCCATTAAAGGGTAGAATCTACTTCCTTGCAGAAGTGGATAAGTCTCTGGTAATCCTGACTCATTCTGGTGAGGATCTTCATCAACATGTACCTCTTTAGGAGTCTGGGCTCTAGTAGCCCTCCAAACATTCTTGTTACGATTTCTCCTTTGGGTTCAGGTTTACGGGATAGTCCTAGAACTTGATCCAATTTCAAACACTGATGACGGGACAGCCAACCCTTCAGTCGGGTCTTCAAAAATCATAACTTCTTTTTTCTTAGTAGCAGTGGGAACAATATGCTTAGTAGGTGTCGTGACAACATTAGTCTTGACCATCTTATAAGAAGGAAAGTCCTGAAGGCAGTTTAGGTTAAATTCAGCAGAAGGCTCCTGGACTTCTGGAGCGGCGACTTTTATCATGATGAACAGAGTTTTCCCGAGGATGAATCTCAAATTTGGCTCCAAATTTGTTGGTAGGAACGATATTACAGGCTTTGCGGCTCATTGACAGGTTGCAGGAAAAAGTTAGCGTTAGGCATGTCATTGCAATAGCTTTAAAAAAGAAAGCTCTACGCCTATCTATTTGGTCAATACCTCGTAATCCTAGTGTGAGCACTGAAATTAACAGAGGTCGATCTTTAGACCGGGTATGTCTTTATTTAATTTGCGATTTAGTTTGTTTGGATTTTAAAATTTTAGTAAAAGTAGTTTGAAAGTAGAAAAATTTGATTAATATTAGGAAATTTTAAAGCGCGTGCAGCACAACATAATTCAATTTAATTCACAAAATAGCAAATCAGACTTGAAAAGGAGATGTGAAGTGTTTAGGACCCAATGTGGGACCAACTTATCAACGCACAATGTCCCAGGTGGAACTAGTCCACCAACAAACCTATTGGGGATCTGACCCCACATGAAGATTAAAAAGTCCTTAATGGCCTCCTGAACTTCCCATCTCAAAGGTGGTTGAGTAGACGATCTTGAAGTCGAAATGAGTTAACTGTACTCACCAAAGAAAGAAAGGGGTGGAGCATGCCAACGGAATAAGGGTAATCTGGTCTATGAGGGACATGAACTCATTACCAATATATGAAGATAAAAACTTGTCCCTGGTGGAGTCGCCAGAAGCTGTAGGCACTATTTTTGTTTAGGAGGAGTTGCCCGTTGGAAGTTGTCGGCCATCTGAATAGAAATCCCGTCACCTACTTCAGAAGGACATTTTACACACACACACACACACACAGATATATATATTAATGTAAAGGGGGTCTCATCATATTGAAGAACCTCGTCTTTTTTAATTTTTCATTCCCTACTTCCTTGGTTGAAGCCTTCTTTATTTCCACTTTTTTCTTGATGGTGTGGATTCACGGACAAATCAGGATCCAACAGATTCCCTTGTTCTATAACTACTTGAAGACTAATCACATAAGTTTTATTTCCCATTGTTGATGGTGCGGTGGATGTCTTCTCAGGGTTCAATCTTGAAATATATAATTCGACGAGAAGGTCTCATGTTAATTGCATTAGCATATACATATGTATCTTGCATCACAAATAATTTATAAAACTTTTTATGTAAAGAGCTTATACAAAACCACAGCTCGACAACTTCTGCCAATTTGCTTTAGCTCGGCAATGGTCCCAATTCGCACCAACTCGGCAAGAAGGACGGGATCTTGTAGGCTCGCCTCGTGCTCTTGTAATAAAATTGGCTACATTTGCAGATGCAGTATTGTACTTCATGATAATGCGAGCTATCAGAGATTTTTTTTTTTCTGTATGATCATTTATGTAGCCTCCCTCGGACACATCCACCTCTGGGCCCATAGATAAGGGGTGTCCGCAGGGGAAGGGGACTCATTCGTTTTCTCTCTTTCATCCTGCTGCATCACAAATAATTCATATAACATTTTCATGTAAATCTATTGAAATTGTATGGTTCAGGTTTATAAATTTGATGCAAGATTAAATAATCACGAGTCACTATAGTATCGTGCTGACATTAGAAATTTTGCATGGTCAGGTGTCTTGTGCTGACATTAGAAATTTTGCATGGTCAGGTGTCTTGTGCTGACATTAGAAATTTTGCATGGTCAGGTGTCTTGTGCTGACATTAGAAATTTTGCATGGTCAGGTGTCTTTGCGGCAACATTGTATACTTGGAACAAGACATGCCATTGAAATACATTTTAGAAGTTAAATAATTATTATAATCTCTTTAAGGGAAGTAAATGAACAATTTAGATGTTAATGATTTTGCTTATGTAAATAGCCCATGATGTTACTGTGTCATTGCTAATTGTGAAATTTATTAATTTGAGTGCTTGTTCATAAGTAGGTGTCATTGCTGATGCCTTAGTGCAGAAGGTCGCTAGTTTGATATGGCATAGATCTGTTATGAACTTATATTTGAGAAGCATTGGAAATGCATTAGCGAGGCATGGATACAAAGTTTTTGACTATAAAATAACATTTGATAGCTTGTTCAAGAAGATCTAGCTAAATGGTACAAGAAATTTGCATCTTTAGTAATTCATGGGAATTAAGGGGTGTGAAAAGATCTAAAATGGTTGGGATTATTTTGTTTATTGTGTTCATATCTAACCACCTTCAACTTTTAATAGTTATTTTCTGTTGTGGATTCCTTCGGTGTCATCTATTAGATCTTACTTAGAATCTCGTGTGTAGGAGATATTTCTTCTCATAGAACTTTTCTTGTACTTGTTCGGCATTTCTCTTTTTTTATCTGTGTACTCTTCATATTTGAATGTTTTAGGTCTTATCCTCTAGCGGTAAATTTTCTGTTAGCTTCAAATATTGAAATTATACTCCATATTTTGTATAGACAGCATGATTTAGTTTTATTCTTGAGCTTTTTATTTTGATAATGATTTTTTAACAAATTATTTTATTGTTTTTTGCAATATTTATTGCAGCTACAACTACAAGCACTGATGGAAACCTTGAGCTCAACGGAACCTCATTACATCAGATGTGTGAAGCCCAACAATGCCCTTAAACCTTCAATATTTGAGAATTCAAATGTCATTCAACAGCTTCGCTGCGGTGTAAGTTTTGTTTTAATGATCAGTTACGAATAGCTACATGTTTTAATTAAAACTGAATTATTTGACACATTTCAAAACCATACCTGTAGGGTGTACTTGAGGCAATTAGGATCAGCTGTGCTGGATATCCAACTAGAAAGACATTTTATGAATTCCTGCATCGTTTTAGTGTTCTTTACCCTGAAGTTTTAGACGGGAAGTAAGTTGTTGTTTTTTTTTTAAACAAAGTTGCTATGCTTGTATTGGGATAGTCTGATACTAGGATATTTATATATGGAAATCTTTATTTCTTGATAGCTCTGACGACAAAGTTGCTTGCCAGAAAATTCTTGATAAACTGGGTCTAAAAGGTTATCAGGTAAGCAGAAGTATGCTTCATAAAAAAAACTTGTTAATTTGTAGTTCCTGAAATATAAGTCCCAATTAAGTATTACATCATGATGCATCAAGGAACGAAGCCTGAAATATGCACCTCATTCTGTGGAATATTGTACCATCGGACTTGAGCATGTGCGATAAAATTTAATTTCTTACGTATCATTATTAGCCCTACTGTGAAGCTGCTGTATGCCTATTTCCTAATGGTTAATCATTTACTTGTTGAAGCATGACTAGTTTAGTTAGTCCTGATCCTGCATTCGAAGGCAGCAGAACCTCCTTTTAATTTGTTTTTATGAAAAGTCATCAGTGAGTTCCGTTGTTCATGTGGCTCTACTAACACTCAGTTCAAACTGATTAGCTTACTAAAATGGCATTATGATTCAAGATGAAATTATGAAATTGTATAATAGAATGACTCATATTTAGTATAAAATTTCAGAATACCAACTGTATCCATGCAAGTAAACTGTTTCACAGCAATGTTATGTGGCTTGGTTTCGATCTTTATGTTGCTTAGACGATTGTGGTTGAAATGATGATTTTTGTTGGGATTACAAAAATTTATTCCTCCATTGCTCTATGCGATTACTTCTCTTGCTGAAGCAGAATCCTTGTCTTTCAAAATTGGCTCATGCTGCCTGTCTTGTTACTTTCTATCGCAGATCTAAGGGCACATAATTTAATTATGTATTTTTTTCCTGGTACAGATAGGGAAAAGCAAGGTGTTCCTCAGAGCGGGGCAAATGGCAGAACTGGATGCAAGAAGAGCTGAAGTTCTTGGAAGAGCG